GGTGCCAGTGGACTTGCTGTAAATCTTCTTCTTCTTCATCTTCTTCTTCTTCTGACCTTCACTGCACACGACACAACACCCTAAACCCTAAACCCGAAACCCTAGACCCTAAACCCTAAACCCTAACCCCTAAACCCTAAACCCTAAACCCTAAAAGGGAGCCCCTGCACCTGACCTAGATGAGCACACACACGCACAAGTCTCCCCCGTGGTTGCAAAGAATTCAGTCGGGACTACCGTGCGCAAGGTCCGGGGGAGCTGCGGGTCTGTAGGATTAAGGGTTTAAGGGTTTTAGGGTTTAGGGTATAGGGTTTAGGGTTCAGGGTTCAGGGTTTGGAGTTTGGGGTTTGGAGTTTGGGGTTTGGGGTTTGGGGATTGGGGTTTCGGCTCTTTAAAACTAGTTCGGGATGACGGCCTTGGCTGCTTCAGGCCTCTGGAACTTTCAGGCATCTTGTCAAGGGGATTGCTGCAGGCAATAGATTCCTTTTCCCGGGTGCCGCGCCCGGCTTGCAAAACTCCTGGCGGGCGCTGGGCCCAAACCCTCAACCCTAAACCCTAAACCACCCTACCACCCCTAAACCCTCAACCCTAAACCCTAAACCCTAAACCCCAAACCCTAAACCCTCCTAAACCCTCAACCCTAAACCCTAAACCACCCTGAACCCTCAACCCCTAAACCCTAAACAGCCCTAAACCCTAAACAGCCCAAGCTCTTAAACTCGATTTTTCAGCGACTGGGAGTGAGGGGATGAGGGCATCGAGGTGAACCCTGAAACCCAGACCCCAAACACCACTCAAAACCCGAAAAACAACAAACGAAACCTAACACCAACACTTTAACGCCTTCAAGCCTAACCCCCCCAACCCCCCAGGCTCTCCAAAGCCCTCCCTAAACCCCAAACTTTCGTAAGCCTTAACACCCTCAACCCCAAACTCTCTAAACGCCCAACCCTCGCAAAAAACCCTTAACCCTAAACCTAAACCCTCAAACTAACCCCAAACCCTAAACCCTAAGCACCCTCGAATGCGCCTTAAATGCTAGAAACCCTGCGAAGGCCTTCTGGGCTACCCCCAAGCCCGAGAAGCCAGCGTGACGGAGACCCCCCTAAACCCTAGACCCTAAACCTTAAACCCGAAACCCGAAACCCCAAACCCCAAACCCTGAACCCTAAACCCTCAACCCTCAACCCTCTAAGCCCTAAGCCCTAAGCCCTAAGCCCTAAACCCTAACCCTAAACCCTAACCCTAAACCGAGCAGGTCCTTGGCGAAGTCGTCGTCCCCCTGGTCCGCGACGCAGCCGAGAAGCTCAAGCGACTGCGCCACGCGTGGCTCTTGGGGTTTAGAGTTTAGGGTCTATAGGGTTTTGGGTTTAGGGTTTAGAGGTTCAGGGTTTAGGGTTTAGGGTTTGGGGTTTAGGGTTTAGGGTTTGGGGTTTAGGGTTTAGGGTTTAGGGTTTGGGGTTTACGGGCTAGGGTTCAGGGTGTGGGGTTTGAGCCCAAGTTCCAGGAATTCGGTTTAGGCCATACGGTGGGTCTCAAAGGATGCCTTTTTTTGCACAGCTATACTCAACCCTAAACCCTAAACCCTAAACCCGAAACCCTAAACCCTAAACCCTAAACCGCTGGACTCCCGTCTGCTCTTCCCCCCTTGCCCAGGCCCTAGACCTGCTCACCCCCCCCCCCCCCCCAGCCCGCAATCAACGGAGTCTTTAACCCTAAACCCTAAACCCTAAACTTACCATTGATTCCATCGCTTATTCCGTAAGCTTCATATGGGCACATAGGGGTGGGTCCCCTTATATACCCCAAATACAATAGAATAGAATCCCCTTAACGGACCCCCAAAAGTACCCCGTACGTTGGGAAACCCCAAAATCGCAGACGCCCTTTGGTGCATCTGAGGCACATAGGAGCGGATGGACCTTCAGCGGTGGAAGGCAACAGGGGCGTTGAGGAGTCTGGGGGCTTAGGGTTTCGGGTTTAGGGTTTAGGGTTTCGGGTTTAGGGTTTCGGGTTTAGGGTTTTTAGGGTTTAGGGTTTAGGGTTTAGGGTTTAGAGTTTAGGGTTTAGGTTGGGGCTTTTCGGGCTAAGCCCACCCAGGCACTGCATCTAATCCGTGGACCTGTACCTTGCATTGAACAAATGCTATGATTCTGCTAGTTTCGGATTGCGATTGTGATAAGCGTCATTTGTGCTCTGACTGTGCTGATGATGAACATGTCGATTCTTGCTGCGAAAAAATCTCAGCGGCTCTTCTTAGGGAGTCTGGGCCTAAGGTTCCTTACGTACAGCGCCTAATTCCTTTAAGAACTACTAAGGTCTTGCGATTCTGCTTGGGGCGGACGTAGGGTTGCAGAGGGTCCCTTAAAAGTCGTATCCCTTGCGAGCATTGTGCCCTCATTGAAGCGAATCAAAGGGACGCCAAACCCGAGAACGGCCCTGCACTTAAGCCCCCCATCTCAACCCTAAAACCCTGACAAAAACCTAGAACCCTAAAACCCTGAAACCCTAGAGCCCTAGATCCTAGAACCCTAAAACTCTAGAGCCCTAGAAACCTAAAATCCTAGAGCCATATAGCCCTAGAGCCGTTAAACTCCCAAAACCCTAAAGCCCTGCAACCCTAAAGCCTAAAGCCCCTAAACCCCAAAACCCTACAAGCCCGCAACCTCAAAAACTTACAACCCTCAAACCCTACAACCCTGCAAGCCTACAACCCGAAAAACCTGCAACCCTCCCTAAAACCCTGATACCCTAAACACGGAAACCCTAAACCCCTCAAAGAGCATTAACCCCAAGGGCTTAGGGTTTAGGGTTTAGGGTTTGGGGTTTAGGGTTTAGGGTTTAGGGTGTAGGGTTTAGTGTTTAGGGTTCAGGGTTTAGGGTTAGGGTTTGGTGCTTAGGGTTTAAGGTTTCGGAATCGATGGAGTTCGTCGCTTGGCTTCCCCGCGCATGGTGCAGTTCGGACAGGTCGGCGAACTTGATCTCTGGCGTGACCTGGTTGAGCTGTACTGGGCTTAGGTTTTATAGGTTTAGGGTTTAGGGTTTAGGGTTTCGGGTTTAGGGTTCAGGGTTTCGGGTTTAGGGCTTGAATCATCTCGCCTGGCTCACACGACCCTGACTCTTACCCCCTCATTGTTGCGGCTGAAACAACCCGACGCCCTAAACCCTAAACCCTAAACCCTAAACCCTAAGCCCTAAACCCTAAACCCTAAACCCCGAAACCAAACCCTGGACCCACAGACACACCAAAACCCGAGCTTTGAACCTTCAGCTGTTTGAACTCTTGGCTCTTCTGACGTTCGCCTTCTCAGTCCTGAACCTGCTAAGCCCTGAACCGCTAGAAGCTCCAAACCCTAAACCCTAAACCCTAAGCCCTAGACCCTAAACCCTGAACCCTGAACCCTAAACCCTAAACCCTACACTCTAAACCCTAAACCCTAAATCAAATCCTGAAAGCCTCAACCCCCGCTCGGCGTCGGGGCCATATTTTTCTTGAAGCCGTCCTTGAGCTTCCCGTCCTCTCGGTGACCCGGTAGGCGGGGAAAGGGAGGATGTGGGCTTAGGGTTCAGGGTTTGCGTTAGGGTCTAGGGTTTAGGGTTTAGGATTTAGGACTTAGTGCTTGCTATTGCCCGGAGGGTCGAAGGGGTCGCGCCATGCTGAAAATCTCAGACCTTACCCGACTACGGCTTAGGGCTTTTTGCGGCGGGCGTGTACTGAGTTCAATGCATAAGGTAGCATTGTCCGAAATTCTGGCTTGGAACACTCTGCTCAATCCTAAATCTTGCTGGCGCCGGAGAGGCTCCGAAGAACTTATGAGTGATGATGAACCAAGTTTAGAGGTCCGGGTTCACGGTTCAAGGCTTAGGGCTCAGGGTTTAGGGTTTGAGGTGTAGGGCATAGAGTCCACACTAATTCGGCTCCATGGAACCAGGATGTGGCGCAGACGCCTTTTTGAACACCGGGGACGCCTTCCGCGTGGAATTCCGTCCCGATGGGCAAACTTGGGCTTATGAGGGTTTAGGGTTTAGGGTTTAGGGTTTAGGGTTTAGGGTTTAGGGAGAGCTTTATGAGGGGTTAAAAGCTGAGGGTTTGAGAGGTTAGGGTTTGGGAAAGCAAACTACGTGCTGGAACTACCCCCGGCCCGATACCTCGGGCGAAGGGGGGGGGGAACGCCTGTGGCAAAAGCGCACGGCCAAGCACGGGACTTCCGGGCGGCGCGAGGTGACTGGGCTTAGGGTTTAGGGTTTAGGGTTTAGGGTTTAGGGTTTAGGGTTTAGGGTTTAGGGTTTAGGGTTTAGGGTTTAGGGTTTTGGGTTTTGGGTTTTGGGTTTTGGGTTTTGGGTTTTGGGTTTTGGGTTTCGGGTTTAGCGGGGGGGGGGGGGGGGGGGGGGGTTGGGGATTGCTTGGGGTGGTTTTGAGGCTCTGTCTCGTTTCTTTCTTTTGATGTTTTTTGCTTGGGGGGGGGGGGGGAAGGCAACACCGGCTACGCACTTTAACTTGGCTGGTGGGCCATTTGTCTGTTGGTGTCCCCGTAGGTCTCGGGTTCTCAAGGATGACGGCCACAGGGTTGAGGGTTTAGGGTTTAGGGTTTAGGGTTTAGGGTTTAGGGTTTAGGGTTTAGGGTTGATTCTGGAGGATGCTTGGGTACTTTGCCGGCCTGGAATGCCCCCGCATTTCGCATGGCCACCACCAAAAATGGGTGCATGAGAGTTCGGGCGGATGTTCGGCAGGGATCCCTCATCTCTTCCTTCTTTGTAAGCTTTTGGCAGGTTCGGGGTAAACTTCGGGCTTTGGGCATACAGGGGGTGGGGTATTACGGTAAGGGCTGGGGTTCAGGGTTTGAGAGAGGATTCACGTGGCGCACGGCCTAGTCCGGAGGGATCCCGCCCACGTCCCGCGCTAGTTGACTGCTACTTGAATCGAAGACCATCAGCCCCACACATCATCCCTAAACCCTAAACCCTAAACCCTAGAACTACGAGAGTTGAAACGCTGGAGCTCACTCGACGATGCCGGCCAGATGCTTCGCCAACCTGAGCGCTTGTGAGCTTGTGAGGGCTCTCAAGGCTTTCAAAGCAAGTAGGCCTGTGGGCTTTATGGGATTAGGGTTTAGGGTTTAGGGTTCGGGTTTAGAATATAGGTTTTAGGGTTTCAGGTTTAGGATATAGGTTTTAGGGTTTCGGGTTTAGGGTTTAGGGTTTAAGGTCTAGGGTCTAGGGTTAAGGGTTTAGGTCCTTTTTTGGAAGGGGATGGGTGAGCCCTACATGTAAGGGTGCCGAAAACTGCCCGAAGGGGCTCTTGGCGCAGGATTCCTTAAACTCCTCGAAAAGGCCCCGAAACCCTGAACCTAAACACCCTAAACCCTAAACCCCAAACCCTAAACCCTAAACCCTTCTTCTCATTCGGCCCCTGAGAGCAAGTGCTAAAGACCTAAGAACACCGGGGGCATGGCCTGGACCTGAAACCCTGTAAAGCCCATAAACCCTATAAACCCTACAAACCCTGTAAATCCTATAAACCCTAAAATCCCTTAAAACCATATAAACCCAAGAAGCCCTACAAAACCTATAAATCCTAAACCCAAGAAACCCCATAAACCCCCAAACCCTCAACCCACCCTCTGCTTCAACCTTCTGCTTCGGCCTCTTCTTGTTCTCGAGGTCGAAGAGGCGCTGGATAAGGACCTTGGGAAGATGCAGGGCTTAGGGTTCAGGGTTTCCGGGTTAGGGTGCAGGGTTTTCGGGGTTTAGATTTTAGGGTATAGAGGTGGTCTCAGGGTCTTAGGGTCCTAGGGTCCTAAGGTCTTCGGGTTTAGGGTACAAGGTTTGGGCTTGAGAATTTCGGGTTTCGGGGCTACGAGGGCTTTCAAGGGTGCCAGGATTCTCGGGTCAAACGACAGCCTTTAGGAACAACGGCGAAATAGATGAGGGGGGGTTGCCTTCGGGGTTGCTTTCAACATTCCAACCTCTACACCCTGAAGAATGGGGGGTGGGGTGGGTGGGGGTTGGACTTCAAAATGCTCCCGCACAGGCCAGGATGCCGATACCCCCGAATTGTGATGAAGGGCATAAGCCCTGCAGTGCGGCTTGAAGAAGGCTGCTTAAAGTATCAGGTTGGAGCCTTCTCACTACCCTGCAAACCCCCTAAACCGAACCCTAAACTCCCCAAACCCAAAATTCCCTCAAACCCCAAACCCCTAAACCCAAAACTCCCTCAACCCCAAACGGCCCTAAACTCCCTAAGAGCCTCGACTCCCACAGCTCCCCCCCCCAAGAGCCGCTGTGGCCGCTGCCCGCTGTGCTTGGGGCGAGCCGGCACCGTGGAGGCTTTCACCTGGGGTTTAGGGTTTAGGGTTTAGGGTCTACCAGGTCCAGGGTCTAGGGTTTAGAGTTTAGGGTCTAGGGTTTCACCAACGGGGGCTCACCTGCAGGGACACTTTCTCTGGCTTTTCGTGCAGCTGAGGTGCAGACACTGCTTGTTGCTCAGGGCTTAGGGGTGGAGAATAGTGTGGCCTGCGTGCTATTTTCCTATGACGCTACTGATCCCTGGCCTGGTGTGATGGTGAATGCCACTTATCTCAAAAAATCTTACTTTGCGACGGTTTGCAGGGTCTGCGTTTCGTCGTTACTACTTGGCTGTTGTTCCTTTGGATTTCTTTTTTGGGGGGCAGGGGGGGAGGGGGAGGGTTAATGGCGTCGTTTTCTAGCGAGCTCTGTTGCGCTGCAGCGACAGGTACAGGTCCTTGTACATATCTTTGATATGTTTCGGAAGCTGACCATACATACTATGGTCGAAAGGCTTCCGACCCCAGCATTGTCGTGCTCCATTGGCACGGCTTGCGAACCAGCCGTTGCAGACCGGGGAAACCTCGCTCAAACTCCAAAGGCCAGCGCATCAAGGTCCACATCGTCATTGAAAATGTCACGACTCGGAGCCTGCACTGTTTCTGCAGATGCAATCCAGCAGCCACCGTGACATACCAACTGCAGCACTTCGTCTCCACCACTGAACAAAGTGGAATGACTCCAGCTCGTACAGCGGAACTTGCCAGAAAGCCGCTAAGGCAGGGAATGCATTCCCATTGCAGCCAGCCAGCCGCAGAAGCACGACGTGTGTCAAGCTGTGCAAAATGCACAGGAGAAAATCCATGTCCACCAGAGTCATGACCACAAGTCCTTTACATAAAGGCACTGGACTTCAATATTGAAAGGGTGTTACAAAGCTTTCGAGAGTTCTGTTGGCTTTAGGCTTCAGGGTTGAGGGTTTAGGGTTTAGGGTCTGGGATACAGCATCAAGGCTCAAGACTCCGGCTTGAACAAAAAAGCGCTCCAAAACCTTGCGTGCTCCGACACCTGATCCACAAAAACCCTGTAAATACCGACACCGGCCATCCCTGCAGGTGAACCCGCTGGGAGGGTTTAGGGCTGCTGCAGGGGGCCCTTTTTGGGGGTTGAGGGGGCTTAGGGTTTGAGAGGCTTAGGGGTTGAGAGGTTTAGGGTTGGAGAGGTGTGGGGGGGGGGGGGGGGGGGGTTGAGAGGTTTAGGGGTTGAGAGGTCTATAGGGGTTTAGGGGCTTCGGGGGTCCTTTTAAGGGTTGAGAGGCTTGGGGTGTAGCATGAATGGGCTGAACGCAGTTGCGTGAAGACATGCACAACCCCAACGCAACTGAAGCTTCTGCAGACCGGAACTTCCCCCCTCGCTGAAGTTCCTGAAGTGGTCTCGCTCAACACCCCAATAGGGTTTAGGGTTTAGGGTTTAGGGTTTAGGGTTTTAGGGTTTAGGGTTTCGGGTTTAGGGTTTAGGGTTTCGGGTTTGGGGGGTTTCGGGTTCAAGGGTTACCTCGCTTGTTTCGGGCTGAGGGCTCAAGGCGGCTAGAGATCCCAGGGCACAGGGAGAGATTTGAATGCCATGCAAGACGGCCCACCCCAGCCTACGAAACCCACCGCGAGACCAAACATGCTCACTGCACATGGTTCCAACCCCGTTGCTCAAGACCATCACCGCCACGGACCACCGCCACGAACGACCACCATGGGACCACCGCCACGGAACCACCACGAACGACCACCACCACAGGACCGCCACCGCGGGACCACCACTACGGGACCACCACCACCGCGGGACCAATATTACGGGACCACCACCACGGGACCACCACCACACGACCAACCAGGGACCATGAACACCTAGCCTCAACCTGAACCCTAAAAACCCTAAACACCCGATAAACCCTAACCCTAAACCCAAACCCAAAACACAACACTTCAAACAAAAACAACAAACAAAAATGCCGCAAAGTAGCTCAGGTAGCCCACGGCATTCCTGACGGATGGTGTTGGATGAAGCAGGAGGGCGGCTCAGGGTAACAAATCCTACAACCTCAAGACCGTGGATCCTCAAGGACCATGTTTCGGGGGCTTTTTGGGGGGGGGGGGGGGGGGGGGGCTTTAGGGGATTTGGGGGGTCTTCGGGGGTTTTTCGGCGTTTTGGGGGGGTTTAGGGTGTTTGGAGCTCATTTCTTTTTCTTTTTTTCGGGAGAGGGGCTCCCATGGTTCAGGGATTGAGGGTAAAACCCGAAACCCTGAACTTGAAACCAAGCTGACACACGACTTGTCCAGTTTCTAGGGGGAACCAGCGGTTGGGAGGGTTTAAAGCGTTTGTTAAGGTTTAGGGCTGAAGCTTTCATACTCGTCTACCAAGAGGTCCTACGCCCTCAGGCTGCATCAGCTCTTCAAGCTTCAGGGCTCGGAATTGTCGGGTGCGGGTTCAGGGTTCAGGGGACTGGGCGTGACGGAGGCGCTTGCGTTTAGGGTGTAGGGTGTAGGGTGTAGGGTGTAGGGTGTAGGGTGTAGGGTTTAGGGTTTAGGGTTTAGGGTTTAGGGTTTAGGGTTTAGGGTTTAGGGTTTAGGGTTTAGGGTTTAGGGTTTAGGGTTTAGGGTTTAGGGTTTAGGGTTTAGGGTTTAGGGTTTAGGGTTTAGGGTTTAGGGTTTAGGGTTTAGGGTTTAGGGTTTAGGGTTTAGGGTTTAGGGTTTAGGGTTTAGGGTTTAGGAATTAGGGTTTAGGGTTTAGGGTTTAGGGTTTAGGGTTGTCATCTGTCCTGCCCATGGTCATGTTCTCGATGAGTCGGAGGATGCGGCGGCGATTCTCCACAGTGACGCCCTTCTTGCCCTGGGGCGATGCGGGGGGCAACTGTCACGACAAGGCCGAGGATCTGCAAAACCTTCCGAGTCCCCTAAACCCTATACCCTAAACCCTAAACCCTAAACCCTTAAAACAACTCAACCCCAGCTCTCAACCAGCAACCACATACCCAACCCGGACCACAGTTGGGGGTTCAGGGGTTTAGGTTCTGAAGACTCAAGGCTGGCAAGCGTCTGTCAAGGAATGGCCACCACAAGAGGGTGAGATATCAAAAAGAGGGCTCCCTTCGCCAGTTCCTAAACTGGGATGGCCCTTAAAACCCTCTGCAAAAAATGTTCCTGAATATGATCCTCCTAAACCCAACGGGGGAAAAAATAAATGTCCCAAGGCCCTACCTAGTAAACAAGAACCGAGCCCTGAGCCCACAAACCGCCCTTCCACCAGCCTTCAGGTACTTCTCCAGCAAGGGCCCCGCCACATCGTTGCCTCTTTGGGAGGTTTGGGGTTTAAGGTTGAGGGTCCCCAACGGAGTCCAGAAAAACCCAAGCATCCAAAGGTTCGGTGAGCCCGTTTCTTGAAGGGTCCGGTGCGCGCATGAAGCGAATGGGACCAACAAGGGGTGCCACTGCTCTTCCTCGGACCCGAACCCCCCCCTGCCTTCGCCAAACCGCCAAACAAAAACCGAACCAGGACGCCGCCAGGGTTGGAGGGGCCGTCGTGGGACCAAAGGCACAGGGCAGGCTAGGGGCGGCGGCATGCCCCTTGATGAAAAAACACCAGCTTCCCTGCCCGTCCGCCAACATACAAAAAAATGCTCGACACTGCATACCCCTTCAGATTCCAGGGTTTTGGCGCCCGCGTCTTCAAGCTGCTGTCCGAGCAGCGGAACTCCTTGTCGGCGGGCAGGGTGACGATGAGGCCGCCAGCCAAGTCCTGCCAGCATCCAAAAAGGACCTCTAAGCTCTGGGCCTCAACTCCTTCGACCCTAGAACCCTAAACCCTAAACCCGAAACCTCCCAAACCCTGCCTTGGCTGTACATTTCAGCAAACATAACTTAATCACAGAAGGCCTTTTCAACCCGCTGCTTCCAAAGGCCCCCCCGCCCCTTCAAATATAAACAGAAGGACACTGAACTTGCGCGCTGAATTACTTGACCCTGCGGGTGTAGGGTTTGAGGGGTTGGGCGTCCTGCGCCAAGCGTGAGATCTCATACGGCAGCTTCGTCACGTTGTGCTTGCCTCACGCGGGGCTTGGGTGGGGCGCAGCTCCCCCCACCCCAGGATGGGCTTTTGGGCCCTAGAATCCCAATACTCAACCCCATCGAGGGCCCATTCAAGGGGTTATAGGGTATAATCGCCCATGGTGGCTAGATATGCTTTGAAGTGAAGCAAGCTTTGCACGGCTTCAGAAAGACGGCTTACCCGGCCGAGGCCGAGCCAAGGCGGCGAGCCAAGCCAAGCCACACCTTTGCAAGAGGACGAGGCCGAGCCACGCCTTTGCAAAAAACCCTGGGCCTTCCTAAACCCACAACCCGAAAACCTCAACCCTATGCTACCCAAACCCAAATTCCCAGGCGACCTGGAAACCCTATGAAACCACCTGGCCTGAAAGGAATCCTTCACGGCCCTTAAATTCCTGCAGAGTTTGGGGTTCGGGGCTTAGGGCGTTTTAGGGTTTCAGAGTTGGAGGTTTTAGTTCCCCGCCCGCGCCCGAAGTATCAGGAGCCAAGTGGCAGATGTTCGCCATCCTAGGGTGGGCTTCGTGTGGTGGGGAGCTGGTGCAGGTTGGGGAATCAGAGGTTGGTGCTGGAGGTTTAGGGTTCGGGGTTTAGGGTTGAAGGCTTCGATTTGTAGGGCTGACGGCCCAGGATTCAAGGGGTTTTTGGAGGCTGTTGGGGACGGTTTTGGGGTTCGAGGGGGTGAGAAACGGACCTTGCAGGCGCTTAAAAGCCTTCAACTCCTGAACGACACACCGTAGATGAACCCGTTAGCCCGAACCCAGAGCATACCCAGAACAGAGCAGGGTTTAGGGTTTAGGGTTTAGGGTGTAGCACGGGTCAGCTGTACGCAATTGTGTGTAGACATGCCCACCCCAAAGGCCACCCAAACACTACTTGCAGCGAAACAAACCAGAGCCAGCCGAATTAAAGCCAGCCCACATTCAAACACTTCTGCACTCAATGTTGTACTTCGGTCCAGCATCCAATATGTGTCTTGATGTCAATTTGCTATAAAGATGCCTTGCTGCATGGTAACATTTAAGAAGCTGCCTTGGAAATAGAACCTCCTGTTGCTAGAAAGGAGCCTTATGGAAGTCATGCCTGAAGCTTGCAGGAGAAAATTCAGGTTTTGCGCAGGGGACATCTTCGGCCGGAGGGCCTTCTCATTGTTTCTGTTCCCTATGTTGGAGTGTCAAGGCTGCATGGCGAAAGACTTGCTGCTAGGAAGATGCCTTGTGAAAGGTATGTCTAAAAGCTTGCGAGAGAAAATTCAGGTTTTGCGCTGGGGGACGTCTTCGGCCGGAGGGCCTTCTCATTGTTTCTATTCTCTATGCCGGTGTGTGTCTAGAAGTTTGCGAGAGAAAAATTCAGGTTTTGCGCTGGGGGACGTCTTCGGCCGGAAGGCTATGCCGGAATGTCAAGGCTGCTTGGCGAAAGACCTGTTGCTAGAAGGGTGCCTTGTGAAAGTCACGTCAAGAAACTTGTAGCAAAAAAACAGGTTTTGCGCTGGGGGACGTCTTCGGCCGGATGGCCTTCTCATTGTTTCTATTCTCTATGCCGGCGTGTCTCTAGAAATTTGCGATAGAAAAATTCAGGTTTTGCGCTGGGGGACGTCTTCGGCCGGAGAGCCTCTCATTGTTTGTATTCTTTAGAAATTTGCAGGAGAAAATCAGGTTTTGCGCAGGGGGACGTCTTCGGCCGGAGGGCCTTCTCATCGTTTCTAATCCTATGCCGGTGTGTGTGTCTAGAAGTTTGCGATAGAAAAATTCAGGTCTTGCGCTGGGGGACGTCTTCGGCCGGAGGGCCTTCTCATTGTTTCTATTCTCTATGCCGGGGTGCGTCTAGAAGAAAAATTCAGGTTTTGCGCAGGGGCCTCCCAGAACCTGGCTCCAAAACTTCGGAGAGCCTTGAGGGCTTTCAACCTCCCAGAACCCTTCCAGGGCCTCCTAAAAGCCTTTCAGGGGCCGGCCGCTGTCGGGAGGCCCTCCAGAGGGTCCAAGGAGGCCTCCCAGGGGGCCTCCTTGGGGCCTCCTAGAGGCCTCCCAAAGGCCTCCCAGGGGCCTCCCAGGGGCCTCCCAGGGGCCTCCCAGGGGCCTCCCAGGGCCTCCCAGAGCCCTGAAGCCGAAAAACCCGATTTTTCAGCAGTGGCCCAGGCTGAGCCCGAAAAAGGGCCTCTGGTCCAGCAACGAAGGCCGCAGTGGGCGCCGCCCCCAGAGGGGCCCCGGAGGCCTCCAGGGGCGCCCCAGGCCAGGTTAGAAAAACACCTGCCGCGAGCAAAGGCTCGGTTTTAGGGTAATAGAATATACTAGGGACTGTGCTTGGCGACCAAGCTTGGCGACCCCTGCAGGGGTGTGCCTGCAGGCCCGATCAGCCGAGATCGGGCCTGCGTGGTCTCGCTGAGCGCTCGACGGCGCCCACTCACCTCTAGAGTGAGAGGGGTGGTGGGCGGGTTTAGGGTTTAGGGTTTAGGGTTTAGGGTTTAGGGTTTAGGGTTTAGGGTTCAGGGTTCAGGGTTCAGGGTTCAGGGTTCAGGGTTCAGGGCTTAGGGCTTAGGGCTTAGGGCTTAGGGCTTAGGGCTTAGGGCTTAGGGCTTAGGGCTTAGGGTCGAGGAGGTCGCAGGCAACGATTGGGGGGCAAGGGGGGCAGGTCGCGGCGCGTTTGGTTTGGATTAGGGACAAGTTTTTTCCAGCCTTTTTTTTGAGGGGAGGGGGAGTGAAAACCAGAGATCTCGCACACCCCAAACCCCTAAAACCTAAACCCTAGCCCTAAACCGTAAACCCTAAACCCCAGGTACACCCCAGCAGGATTTTGGGAGGCTCAGAAACTTCACGGATCAGGGGCATGACGTCTGGGAGGAAGTTGCCCGAGGGCGTGGCCTCGACAGCTTGGGGGTTTTCGGGATTCGGCGGGTTTAGGGTGCAGGGATTTAGGGTTTTAGGGCTTCGGGATTTAGGGTTTAGGGGTTTCGGGTTTAGCGTTTAGGGCTAGGGTTTAGGGTGGGGATTTGCGGGTTTAGGGGTAGAGGGATTTAGGGTTGGGGTTTCGGGGTTTAGGGTTGAGGGTTTGGGGTTTTCGGGATTGTCTCGAACCCTAAACCTAAACCCTAAGCCCTAAGCCCTAAACCCTAAACCCGAAACCCTGAACCCTAAACCCTAAACCCCAAACCCTAGCCCTAAACCCTAAACCACGAGCTATCAAACCTCGCGCGAACTCGCAGGCGCCTTGCCGCCGTAGGAGGAGGCCATGGCTGTGCCAGCAATGTTCCTTGCGCCAAAGTTTAGGGTTTAGGGTTTAGGGTTCAGGGTGTAGGGTGTAGGGTGCAGGGTTCAGGGTTTAGGGTTTAGGGTTAGGGTTTAGGGGTTTTGGGCTTAGGGCTTAGGGCTTAGGGCTTAGGGCTTAGGGCTTAGGGCTTAGGGCGTGGGGTTTAGGATTTAGGATTTAGGATTTAGGATTTAGGTTTCAGGATAAGTTCCGGGGTGCTGTTGGGATTGGGTCTTCGGGTCCCGCGACTCGAGTTTGAAGGGAGCCTTCGGCCCAATTGAGGCGGGGAGCTCGTTCAGGTAGGCGATCTCCACCAGCTTGTCCTGGCATGCAAGCTGCGAAGAAGCTTCCATGATGGTCTTCTATAGTACATCCCTTATGGTTTTAGGGTACCGAAAGAAGGGGGGGGGGGACCCGAGTTTTCAGATTACCCCCCCCCCCTTGCTTTGTGCCCGTACGTACCGTTTGTCAAAGCCTTACATAGAGTAACCGACCAGGGATATCCAGGCTTGAACAAGTTGAGGGCCTCCTAGCACTACATGCAAAAAGGCCCCCCAACAAAATGCGACTCCTATGCAATAAATTCCACGTCCCCAAGCCTGGTAACCGTCCCAAAAGCCCAACCCAACACTCAAGAGGCTGCTCTCCACCGGGCGGAGCCTTAATGTGGGAGGCCTTTGCCACACCGTTGTAGTCCGCCACCTCAGCGTTCGCAGCCCAGGATGGTGGGAGGGTTTTGCCGGGGGGAGCAGGGGTTTAGGAAGTAACAAAGGCTTAACCCTAAACCCTGCCTTCAAAATACGGTTCACAGCGAGTTGGGGCTTAGAGCTTGTAGGGTTAGAAGCTTCTCGGGCTCATGCGATTGGAGAAGTTCAGGGTTCGCCCTCAGCCCTATGCCCCGACACCGAAACGTACACCCCAATCAACCCTCTACCCAAAACCTTAAAACCCTCAAAGCCTTTGAACTCACACCCTTAAACCTTCAAACCCCCAAACCCTCAAACCCTCAACCCCTCAACCCCCTCAACCCTCTCAAACCACTCAACCCCTTGAACCCTGAAACCCCTACACCCCTAAACCCCTAAAACCCCGAGCCCGTGAACCCTCGAACCTCGAAACCCCTAAAAACCTACAAGCCCTTGAACCCTCAAAGGCCTAAACCCCTAAACCCCTACCACCCTCAAACCCTAAAACGCTAAAACCCCTTGAACCCTCAAACCCCTATATCCCTAAAACCAAAAACCACGTGAACCCTCAAACCCCTAAACCCCTAAACCCCTAAACCCCTAAACCCTGAACCCCTAAACCCCTAAACCCCTAAACCCCCAAAACCCCTAAAACCCCGAGAACCCTAAACGACTAAATCCCGAAAACTAAACCCCTAAACCCCTGGAACCCCTAAAAACCCTAAACCCCTAGAACCCCTGAAGCCCTAAACTAAACCCCAGGAGACTTGCGCGCACAGGCGCCGTGGCCGCGGCACCCAGCATGACGTCACCCAGGCCGGCCTTGCAGACGTAGGAGCCTCAGGGGGTTTTCGGGCTTCAGGGCTTTGCGTTTTTTTTCTCGGGTCTAGGGTTCAGGGTTTAAGGTCTAGGGTTTAGGGTTTAGGGTCTGGGGTCTAGGGTTTAGGGTTTAGGGTTTAGGGTCACTGGAGAGGTGGGCCTCGGGCGCCAGAGTCTTGAATTGCCGACTATTTTGGGAGGAAAGCCTGGTACTTCCTAGGAGAAGCAGCACCTACAAGGTTTGCAGGGTTTGGGGACTGTGTGCCTCTAAGCCCCTAGTCGTAGCCCCTGAGCCCTAAAGCCCTAAACCCCTAAAGCCCTAAAGCCCTAAACCCCTAAACCCCTGAACCCCTAAACCCCTAAACCCCTCAACCCCTCAACCCCTCAACCCCTCAACCCCTAAACCCTAAACCCTAAACCCTAAACCCTAAACCCTAGGGCCCCCGGCGGCGGTGGTAGGCGGTGAAGCGCTCCACCAGTCTCTGGGTGAAGTCCACCTCTCCACAAAAAAAAGGCTGCCGATCCAAGAGTGGGAGGACTTGGGGTTTAGGGTCTAAGGTTTAGGGTTTGGGGTTTGGGGTTTGGGGTTTGGGGTTTAGGGTTTAGGGTTTAGGGTTTAGGGTTTAGGGTTTAGGGTTTAGGGTTTAGGGTTTAGGGTCTAAGGTTTAGGGTTTAGGGTTTAGGGTTTAGGGTGTAGGGTTTAGGGTTTAGGGTGTAGGGTTTAGGGTTGACGGGGACTTGGAGTCGATCCTTTTCTTAGGGGCTTGGGGTTGGGATGCAAGGTTTGGGGGAAGGGAGGGTTTAGGGTTTAGGGTTTAGAGTTTAGTTTTTGGGTTTTAGGTTTAGGGTTTAGGGTTGGATATTTTGGGTTCTTTAAGGCATTCAGAGAACCCAGAGGACAAGTACTTGGCATGTTTGGGCCGAAATCCTCTGGGCTGGGACAAGCGCCTCGCCGTCCATGAAGACGTACCTGAGGCCGCAAGAACAACCCCGAACACTACGCACCCAAAGCCCCCAAAGCCCCCAGACATCCCCCATGCCCCATACATCCCCCAGACCCTAACCCGAAACTCTAAAGCCCCAAGTTCCTCCTCGGGTGCAGGCATCTCTCAGGTTGAGAGCTTCAGGGGTTTAGGGCTTTCAGAGCAACCTTATGGATTCAGGGTTTCATAGGCTTCGGGTTTTTGGCTCTGGGGCTTCTTCGCGTTAGACACGAAAGGTGAGGCCCTGACTCGGGGGGGACGTAGACGTCCTCGAAGATCGTCATGGTCTCCTCCCGCCACGTTGAATTTCAAAGGGAGGCTCCCGTCACCAAAAGCCCTGAACGCTCAACCCTGAACCCTAAACCTAAACCTTTTCAAAGGTGTTTGCGTCTAAGGATCGGTCCTTATAGTCCCACAGAATCCCTAAACCCTGGACCAGTCTGCTTCGGGTTTAAGATATGATTTAGGGGATGCCGTGCTTGTGCGTTGAAAGTTCAAGCTACTCAGGGTTTCGGGCTTCGGGTTTAGGGTTTAGGGTTTGGGGTTTCCTTCCTCAAGATTGAAGCCCCACCTGTCATCTCCAATCAAGAACTAGAGTTTGCTTCCCTAAACTCGAACCCTAAGGTTTAGATTTGGGGTTGAGGTTTAGGAAACCTTGGGCCAGAGAGAGCACAAGGCGAGGGCGTTGAGGGTTTAGAGTTTAGGGTTAGGGTTTGGGTTTAGGATTTGGGCCATAGGCCTTAGGGTTTAGGGTTTTGAGTTTGGGAAGATGCTTGAAGCCCGCCACGCCTGGCCGCCGAACTTGGCGTTGCCCTGGTCAATGTCACCTGGGCCCCTACACCCCCTCCAGAACCTCCGAATAAAACAAACACAAGAAAGAAAGAAGCAAACTTCCCCCAAGGCCACAAAACAACAAGCTCTAAACCACCCTACGTATGCAAACACCCTAAGCCCCAAGCCCTAAGCCCTAAAGCCCCCATAACCCCTGGAGTCCCCCCAAAACTCCCCTCCCCACTCCCTGCACCCCCGCACCTCCGCACCCCCCCAACCCACCCCTCCCCCACCCCCCCTGGGGGAAGAGTTTTCTTTTTGTTGCAGGCTCCTGGCTTCGGACACCGCCTTGAACTAGACTTCATGGCTCCATGCCCAAAAACCTGAAGACTAAGCCACCCTAAACCCTAGACAGCCCTGAAGCGCCAACCACCCTAAACCCTTAGTAGCCCTAAATCCCTGCCACCCAAAACCCTTAAACCACCCTAAACCATAAGCCACCAGAAGGCCGAAACCAACCTAAATCCTGGGGGAACCCTGAACCCTAAACCCTGAACCCTCAACCGCACGGTTCAGGTCTCTGAGGGGCGTTGTAGACTTGATTGAAGTGTAGGGTTTGGGGTTTAGAGTTGAGGGCTTTTGAACTCCAGACCCACGGGCCTCCCGACTTGCTCTGAGAGTCTCCGAATATACAAGAGCAGAATACAGAATGCGGTATTCTATTGCTCTGAGAGTGTTTCGGGCCTAGGGTTGAGGGTTTACGGTTTAGGGTTTAGGATTTAGGGTTTAGGGTTTAGGGTTTAGGTTTAGGGTTTAGGGTTTAGGGTTTAGGGTTTAGGGTTTAGGGTTTAGGGTTTAGGGTTTAGGGTCTAGGGTTTAGGGTTTAGGGTTTAGGGTTTAGGGTTTAGGAGATCTACGTCCGGTTTTGCCAAGTTGCCCGGCTCCATGGCCCTCAAATCGCAGCTCTGACGTCCGTAGATGTAGGTGATGCCTCGACCGGGTTCGGGAGTTAGGATGGTGGGGGGGGGGGTTAAGGATTTGAAAGCTTAGGGCTTCGCCCTTAAAATTGTGAAAGTTTAGGCTTTAGGGCCTGAGCCTTCAAAAAGTGTTGGTGCTGGGGACTTACTCAGGCCCCTGCTTTGGTACCCTGAGCCATTCAGGAATCAGCCCAAACCCTGAACCCGAAAGCCTGAAAAGAACCCTAAACCCTAAACCCTAAACCCTAAACCCTAAACCCTAAACACTAGGACCCTAACCCCCGGTCACAACTGGCATCTGCCCCGAAACGCCTAGAAGCCCAAACCCTCAACACCCCCCGAAGCCCTAAAGACTCTGAGTTTAGGGCTTGGGGCTTTATAGGGTTTAGGGGTCCGGGGTTTACGCTTTAGAGCTCAGGGTTCAGGGTTTAGGGCGCGAATCATCCAATGCCGGAGAGTAGCCCGGAGCATCCACGGGCACGGCGCAGGACACGGCATAGTCCTGTCCGAACCATAAACCTTAAACCCCCCCGTGCCTAAACCCCAAACTCTTATACCCCAAACCCGAGACCCCAAACATGAGCCCTACACCCTAAACCCGAAACCCTACACCCTAAACCAGAAACCCTAAACTCCCTAAACCCTCAACACCTTTCCTTGTCAGCGACTTCCATCTTGCTCCCCGGCATCAGGATCATCCAGTGCGAGTTGAGGTTACCAGTCCTCAGCTGAGGGAGTGGATTGAAACCTCGATTCTCACGTCATCCTCAGAATTCACATGGTTTAGGGTTTACGGTTTAGGGTTGAGGGTTTAGGGTTTAAGGTTTAGGGTTTAAGGCTTAGGGTTTAAGGTTTAGGGTTTAAGGTTTAGGGTTTAAGGTAAATTTGCCGTCTCTAATACAGCATACTCCTGACAGTTTAGGGGCAGGGGGACGGGATTCAGGGCTACCGAGATTTATCAGGTCAAGGTTACAAGAGTTCAGGGACACTTGACTGTAGAGCGGATGAAACCCTATATCCCAAGACTTTCTGTCAATAATTCTGGTCCCCAGGTGAGTTCAGTCATCCTAAACCGTAACCTCTAACCCCTAAACCCAAACCACCCTAAACCCTAAACCCTAAACCCTAAACCCTAAACCCTAAACCCTACATCACTTCAATGCCTGTCTTTGCATCGCTGGTTCGGCCGGGCAGCTGGTGTGCCTTGCAACCGCGGAGGACGATGCCGCCGTTCGGCTTCCGCTCAGCCACTCGCACGAAGAGGTCGGGGTCCTGGGGCTCGGGTTTAGGATTCAGGGTTTAGGGTTTAGGGTTTAGGGTTTAGGGTTCAGGGTTTAGGGTTTGGGGTTTAGGGTTTAGGGTTTGGGGTTTAGGGCTTAGGGCTTAGGGCAAAGCTACCGGAGGCCATTCAGCCACCTTGCCTCTTTGAAGCCCGATGTAAGGATGATACGGGCGACCCCAAATACCCAAGCTAGATACACATGGGCTCAGGGTTTAGGGTTTAAGGTTTAGGGCTTAGGGTTTCGGGTTTAGGGTTTAGGGTTTAGGGTTTCGGGTTTAGGGTTTAGGGTTTAGGGTTTAGGGTTCAGGGTTCCAAGTTAGATACACATGGGCCCCTGCAACATCAGCCCGCTCCCGGAGAAACCAACTCGACAGCCCACAGCTGTCACTTAACTCCAAACCGCTTGGGGGCCATCCCAGAACTCCGGGGTTTAGGGTTTAGGATTCAGGGTTCAGGGTTCAGGGTTTAGGGTTTAGGGTTTAGGGTTTAGGGTTTAGGGTTTAGGGTTTAGGGTTTAGGGTTTAGGGTTTAGGGTTTAGGGTTTAGGTTTAGGGTTTAGGGTTTAGGGTTTAGGGTCCAGAGTGCCTTAAGCCCGAGACCTGAACGTGAAACCAAGGCCAAAATCCAATCTCCACTGGGAATGAACCTCCGCTTGCCTCCTGCTGGGAAGGGTTCAAGCTGCGGTCACCTCTGGACAGGGCTTATGAGATTCATAGGGTTTTGGGCTTAAGGTTTAGGGCTGAGGGCTTTGAAGGGCTTCGACACAGGGTGCTCTGAATCCTCTGGCCCTTGCGCCGTAAAGGCCTCGATTCTTAAACTTGAAAGCCTTCGGCCCTGGACGCCCCCTAAAGCATAAACCCAGACCCCCCCCCCCCCCCCAAAAAAAAATAACCCTGCAACCTCCGACCATGGCGCCTTTGACGTCCGTCATCGCACCCCCGAGAACCCAGTTCTTGCTCTGGGCCAACTTCATGAAGTCCTGTTGATTCGGGGATCCGAAGTACGAGTTTTGTAATCCACTGTTTGCTTAAGAACCCCCAAATGAGTTTATATTTTTTGTGGTTCTGAAGCAAATAGTAGCAATCTGCGTCTCGCATACTTCGGATCCCTATCAACAAGAGAAGGGGTTGAGATCTCATCTTCTTCATCGCCCAGGGTGTACGGCTTTGGGGCATGGAGGTTGAGGGCTTAAGGTTTAGGGTTTAGGGTTTTGGGTTTAGGGGCTTGGAGGTTTGAGGTTGAGGGTCCAGGGTTCGAGCATACCACCAAAAACTCCCCTAAAGTCCCAAGTTTGCTGGGGATTGGGTGGCTCTGGGTTCTTAGAACCTTCTTGGCATTCTTGGCGGCTGCTTGGCGGTCGGGTGCAAAAGCCTATGACCTGAAGTGTCAGAGTTACAGTGCACCCTCGAATTCAGAAAACCCTTATCTTGGGATGCTCCCTCTTCTACTAACAGTCCTTAACAGGAATGATAACCGGGGTACTGTAATCCCCATTCAGGACTGTTAGTGTAACGGGGAACGTCCCAACCCTAGCCCTAAAGCCCACCGAAAAAAGATCCGTAAGTCACCAGGAGACTCTGGGGTTGGGCGGGCATGCCAGGGAGACTCTGGGGTGCAGTCTCTGGGTTGCGCACTCAGGGAGAGTCTGGGGTTGGGCACCAGGGAGACTCTGGGGTTGGGCACTCAGAGTGGGAGTCTGGCGTTGGGCACTCCAGGGAGACTCTGGGTTGGTCCAGGTCTGGGGTTGGGCACTTCAGGAGCCTCTGGGGTTGGGCACTCCAGGGAGTCTCTGGTGTTGGGCACTCCAGGGAGTCTCTAGGAGTAGACCGGGCGAGTTGAGTTTAAAATCTAACAACTAACAACCCCCACACCGAAGCTACCCCAAACCACTACTCCCACCCTCACCCCCAGAGGAAAGCAAAAACAAAAATGTGTGCTTGTATACGTATATATAAATACACACACACACACACATGTATATATATATATACACACATATATATATATATATAGAACATATGTGCGTATACATATATATATATATATGAAAAATGAGACTAAAGGCCGTCAAGGCTCTCTAAGCCCTGGAAAAGCCCGTAAACGTTTAAGATCCGAAGGTCAGGTTGAGGCCGAAAATCCTAAACCCTCCAACTCCCGAAATTCGGCTTCCCTAAACTAGTCAAACACCTAAGACAAAACCCTGCACCCTATTGGGCGTCTAAATCCTGAACCTCCCATACCACTGAAACCCTGAAGCCCTAGACCCTCAAGATGCCTGGAAGCGCTTGTGGTAGTTGGTTCCAAACCTGGGGTTTAGGGTACGCAAGGGGTTTAGGGTTTGGGGTTTGAGGGTTTAGGATTTGGGGTTTAGGGTTTAGGGTTTAGGGATTAGGGTTTAGGGTTTAGGGTTAGGGTTTAGGGTTTAGGGTTTGGGGCGACCTAACAAAACCCAGAAGCCCCAAAGGGCTTCGGGTGCTAACTTGGCCCTCCGAGCGGCCGTTGGTCGATGTCGTAGGTTGTGGACCACATGGCCTGGGATGCTGGTTCTTGGGTTCAGCGTTTAGGGTTTGGGGTTTAGGGTTTAGGGTTTAGGGTTTAGGGTTTAGGGTGTAGGGTGTAGGGTTTAGGGTTTAGGGTTTAGGGTTAGGTTTAGGGTCTTAGGGGTATTAGGGTTTTCGGGGTTTTCGGGGTCAGGGACACGGGGATCGAGGGTTTACAGTAAGCTCCTAAAGTTGAAACACCCTTATCCCCATACCCCAAAAGGGTACACTAAAGGGAATCCCAGCTCTAATCATCCGTTCAACATGTTCCAACTTTCTGGAGTTTGCAGAAGGGTTTTTTCGGGGATTCGGGGCTTTGGGCCTCTTCCAAACCTGCGAAGGAAGGATTTACTCCCCAAGCCCCCGAAACCCCAACCCGAACCTTTCGGGTTCAAGGTTCACGGTCTAGGGTTTAGGGTTTAGGGGCTTAGGGGGCTTACAAAGTTTCCTCTCATTATCGTAGGCCCACTAGAACCCAAATGTGTGCCAGGCCACGTTGGAGGCGTCCTGGCCGACGCAGCGCTGGAAGCAGGTCCCTCGCAGGTCGGAGAGTCGAAACCCTTTAGGGGTTTAGGGTTAAGGGTTTAGGGTTGAGGGTTTAGGGTTTAGGGTTTAGGGTGCGGAGCTGCAGCTGGTATTGTAGAAAGGAGTTAGTGTTGGGTGTTGGAAGGGTCAACGTACCCGGAAATCTTGTTTGGCTCAAGATGGCCGAGAGCCGTCAGCTTTTGTTGAAAAAGTACGTACGCTTGGGGTTGGGTTTAACGGGTTGGAGTAGTCCCGTCCCTTCTCCCTTATCCTGTCCCCTTAGGGTTGGGTGTTCTTGTTTCTGGTTCGATCTGGGAAATCTATATAGGCGACTGTTGAGGGTTGGTTTCTTTCCCTGTTCCCTTTCGGTTGCCCCCGTAGGTTATGAGCCCAAATTAGGTTCCCTGCGGTTGAGTGTTCTCTTAAGATCTTTGGGATCAAGAAGCAATGCCTTCTCCCAAGCGATGGCTCCAACCTTCCTCGGATGGTGGACAGAATGGTGGAGCTGGAAATGGTGCAGCTGAGTCTCTGGGTGAAAGGGCGGTGCTGGAAGAGGTGATGCCTGGCACTGAAGAACATCTGGAAGAAGCCTTGGTTGCAGAAGACCCCAATGTGGGTATGAATCCCAATGTGGATATGGTTAGCAATGCTGAAGCTGAAGGACGTGCTGTTTCTGTATCGCCAAAGCCTGGTGAAAAAAGGAACTGGGACGCGACTGGTGGTATAGACCGTGAAATGGAGGTGACTGTTTTACGCGTGTTGCAAAAACATGGGTATCAGCCGTCGACTTCGACTTCGGGCCGAATGGTAGACCAAGGGTCTCAGACCGATCTGATTGGAGAAGTGCTGCAAGCTGCCAGGAGGCCTCTGAACAAGATTAAAGGGGATCCCTCGGCGAGTTCCCTGGGTGGTGGAAGCGGTTACGAACAGAAGGGTGCGGACAGCTTTGAAGCTGCACCAACTGCTGAATACGCCATGGGGGAGGAGGAGATCTTACAGATGGAGGCTGAAAGGTTGCGCCAGTTGTCAGAAGAAGAGGATGAGATGCGTCAAGTCTCTGAAAGGGATGGTTTTCGGAAAGATGAGCATCTGATCAAAGCGTGCGATGGGACAACGTGGGAATGGCACTTCCACGAAGATGGGAGACAATATTACTACTGCCTGGATACGCAGGAAAGCAAGTGGACGTTGCCGGTTGTAGGTGAAAAGATGAAGAGTGACGAGGTGGTTGGGTCTCCTTCGGGCAATGAGCTGGAAATGGAGGCTGCACTGGGTTCTTCATCCTCTACTCCGACGCCTGAGTCTACGAGGGCATTCCAGGGTAGTGTAAATAGTGTAGGTGAAAAAGATTTTTCCTCTACTATCAGGGATAGCGGTCCTAGGGCTGGTGGTGACGCCCCGACCTCGGGTTCTCCTGATGAGGAGGGGATTTCTGGAAACCGAGCAGACATCGCTGAAGCTCAACATCTGGATCGGGAAGAAATGGAAGCGCTTTCTGAGGGTGTGGCAGCGGTGGAATCGGTGGGTCCAGAAGGAAAAATGCCCAATGTGGAGATCGGAACTGTGTCGGCTGCAGAAGAGAGAGTGGTGGATGTGGTACCTGTCGTTCAGGAAGGTGGTCCTGGAGATTCGGAAGATGGAGGGAAAAAGTTGTGTGTTACGACTGAAGAGGTCTCTTCGTTTGGTGCCAAGAATCCTGCCATTCAAGGGGAAAAAGAAGCTTCTGGAATAGCTGGAGACACGGAAGATCTGAAAGATGAGGCCTGGAGCGCCAATGATGCGCGGGTCAATGCGCCAGATAGTACCTGGAGTGCGAAAGAGGCACGGGTTGAGGTGCATATGGTGTCACGTTCCACGGGCGACTGCAACAATGGGGCGCAGGTCTCCGCAGCAGCTGATGATGGAGGTTCACAGGTGGACGCACTGGTGCAACCTGAAGTTAGCCGCGAGGAACGAAATGGCAAGGGCTACACCGGAGCCGATGAGGCAGCTGTGGTCAATGATGGTGGCAATTCTCCTTTGGAAACCATGGAACCAAAGGAGCCTGCGGTGGAAGAAAATGTACCTGCCGTGGATGAGCAATTAAATCGCCCTGCAGTGGAAGAAAATTTGCCTGCTGCAGAAGGTGTGACAAAAGACTCCAATGATGGGTCCACTCCCATGAAGGGAGAAGTATTGCCGTCTGGAAGCTCGCCGGAAGTCGACACCGAGCGAACTGCAGCAGATGAGGCAAAGCCATTGGCTGAAAAAAAGGAAGGTCCTGAGCCCCTGGAGCACAAGATGGATGATCTTGTGGGACTCGTGCAGGAGCCGGACGAGCAGTGTGACCCAAAGGTGGAAACAAAGGATGTGCCAGGAGCCGATGATACAGAGATGGTTTCTGAAGAATCACCTGGGGAACATTGCTATCAAGAGGGAGATGAGATCAGTGGTCTAGTGCGCTGCATCAATGGGTATGGAGCCTTTTTGGACCATGGTGATGTGAATGTATTGATTCCTGCAGAAGGGAACAACGCGCATCAGTTCAAATTTGGTGATACTGTCAATGGAACAGTGAAACGAGTGGAAGATGATGGTACCATAATCTTGGACACCTTTCTGGTTTTGGAAGAGGACGAGGAGGACTCTTCTTCGACGCTGCGCAAATGGAAATCCAGCGGCTGGAGTACTTGGTGGACAGATTCATGGTATGAGGGCCAATGGTACCAAGATTCCAACAGTCAATGGGACTGGAAGCGGGAGGAAGAGCAATCCGATGAAAGGGTTGCTGATCAGAAGTTATCCTCAGAAGAACAAGAGGAAAGGCAACTTTATGGAGAAAAGATCTATAAAGCTCTTCTTGAGGATGGAAACGAAGATAAGGCCT